ACCATATTCACAAACTTACAATACCTTAGACCTTTTACCATTGACTTATGGAAGCACAGGCAGTACAGCCCTTTGACTTTATAGTTTTAATCAACAGTTAACTTGAGTATATGATATGTATTGTGTCACTGAAATCTTGAATAACGATCAAGCACATACATGAATTTTTCAGTCGAAGAGACGACCGAAGAAAAAAGGCTTAATAAAGAGTTTCAGTCACCCGAAGAGTCTCCTAAGAATGGAGCATTGCATCTCTCATAATCAGAGAATGTTGGGTTCTTTGTTTATTTATAAGACTTAAAATTTACTTATCTGTTATAAATGTATTTTTTATTTAGTAAGATCCAATGCTCCATTCTTAAGAGACTCTTCCTGTGACTGTGCTTCTTTTTTTGGCCTTTTTTCTTCAGTTGTCTCTTTTCGACTGATTAATTTACGTATATATTTGATCGTAATTCAAGATGTCAGTGACACAATACATATCTTATACTTAAATTCACTGTTGATTAAAACTATAAAGTCAAAGGGCTTTACTGCCTGTGCTTTCATAAGTCAATGGTAAAAAGCTTAAGGTATTGTAATTTTTTTTCATGTGGTCGATTTTATAAGCCATATAAAATGAGTAGAATATTTATACTTTAACATGTAGATTTTTGGCTCAAAAATAAATTGCCGCAGATAGCACAGAATACGTCAACTTTTTATTGTCTATCTATGAGATCAGTTGCGGCTGGTTTATAGTTAATAAAGTGGCTCTACAGTAAATAGCAGTAATTATTTGGATCAGCGCCATCTAGCGGTCTTCATTTTTGAGCTAAAAGTGGCCTCTAAAATTCTCAATCAGAGCAATCAGGATTAGAGCCATTTAGTCAATTATAAACCAGCCGCAACTCATGATAAAGCTATAAAATGAAAAAATAACAATACATGTGATTTTGGCGGCAAGTTAACAATCTATCTTTTACTCGAAAATTTATCTTCAAAAGTATAAATACACCGGAGGTCAATTTTTTGATAGAAAATCGATTGATAATTTGCCGCCAAGAACACATGTATCGTTATTTTTTCATTTTATAGCTTCATTATGAGTTGCGGCTGGTTTATAATTGACTAAATGGCTCTAATCCTGATTGCTCTGATTGAGAATTTTAGAGGCCACTTTTAGCTCAAAAATGAAGACCGCTAGATGGCGCTGATCCAAATAATTACTGCTATTTACTGTAGAGTCAAATTATTAACTATAAACCAGCCGCAACTAATTTTATAGATAGACAGTTAAAAGATTGCATTTTTTGTGCTGTTTGCGGCAAGTTTATGATATATCTTATATACGAACATCTACCTCCAAAAGTATAAACATATAGGAGGCCAATTTTTTAGTAATCTTCTAAACCTAGAGCCATTAATTCATTTATAAACCAGCCGCAACTAAAGTGATAGACATAAATTTAAAAAGTTAACGTTGTTTATTCTGTTTGCGGCAAGTTTACTATGTGTTAGTTACCTAAAAATGCATAAATATACAAGTAAGTGAAAAGTAAAAAGTATATTCACATAAGAGGTCAATTTTTTGGTAAAACATAAATTGTTTTAGCCGCAACTAATGTCATAGATAGACAATAAAAAGTTAAAATTTGTGCTATTTGCGGCAAGTTTACAATATATTTTTTACCCGAAAATCGACCTCCAAAACTATAAATATTACATATATATTTTATTATAAAATTATATAATAAAATTTTTAAATGGCTTATTGGCCAGATGCATGTCATGCATGTCATGCATGTCATGCANAATTTGTGCTATTTGCGGCAAGTTTACAATATATTATATACGAAAATCGACCTCCAAAACTATAAATATTACATATATATTTTATTATAAAATTATATAATAAAATTTTTAAATGGCTTATTGGCCAGATGCATGTCATGCATGTCATGCATGTCATGCATGTCATGTTGTTACATTCAAACCTTTTACAACTGTTCTTGGCACCACATAGTTCATTTTCTTACATTAGTGTAACTGCAATTTCATAATATTGATACTATTTATGCATATGTGATGATAACATCTGTAAATTTGACGAAATACTGTTATTCTTTCCTTAATTAAGCAAAAATGCACCTGGCCAATAAAATCGACCACATACACCACTCCTGGCTCTGACCTCTGATGGCTCTGACTCTTATATCAGCGCTACTTATTGAAAAATGTCTGTTATGAAACAAACTGTTCACTTACTGAGTGGATACGATATGCCACTTGTTGGAAGTAAGTTAATTCACAACGAAGCTGTGTTATATTTTCTTTTTTCTTGATATAAAAACCTTTTTTTTGTAATAATTTTTTGAAGATCTTGTTAATTTATGAATTATCTAGTTGGAACGTACAAAATCAGAGGTTATGATACAATTAAACGAGTCGTCGATGTAAGTCTAGAAGCTGGTTTTCGGTCAATTGGTAAGAAAAAAATTATGATAAAATGCCTGTAAGTTTAGATTTTTTTTTGTTGATATTAAAATTTTGTGTGTAGATACTGCTGTTGTATATGGAAACGAAGAAGACATAGGTAATGCTCTGCAAGAACTACTACTAAAGTATAATTTGAAGAGAGAAGATATTTTTTTAATTAGTAAACTAGGTAATTTTCAAAATATTGGACAACTTACAGCACTTACAATTACTCATCTTAAATGTTCTTTATTTTCAGCTCCATCTGATAATGGTAATCCAGAAGCAATACGTAAATCTGTAGAAAACTCTTTGAGAGCTTTAAAAACAAATTATTTAGATTTGTATCTCATACATTGGCCTGGAGCTGGTAGAATTTTAGAACAATCACCAGAGAATCCTAAGCGTAGAATTGACACATGGACAACTTTGGTGGAACTTAAACAGAAGGGCTTTCTAAAATCAATCGGTGTTTCTAATTATACTGTTAAGCATTTGGAACATTTGCTGGAAAACTGCAGTGGTGTCATTCCAGATGTCAATCAAGTAGATATTTTTTAGCTATTTATAAACTAACTGAACTGAAAGTTTAACAGAGTTTAACAATATTCTAGGTTGAATGCCATCCACATTACAAACAAGAGGAGCTCATCAATGTTTGCAATAAAAAAGGTATTCATGTTCAAGCTTATTCTTCACTAGGAACTAGTAATGTCACTACACTACTAGAAGATCCTGTGGTAAAAGAAATTTCTTCCGAATTAAATGTTTCACCTGCAAGAGTCTTATTAAGATGGGCAGTACAGCAGGGTTTAGGTGAGTTTTCATTAGAAATGAAAGATATTAATTAATTCAAAAATGTTGAGTAAAACACTTTTTCTATATTTTCAGGGATCATACCAAAAGCTATTAAAAGTGAGCATATCAAAGATAACATCAAACTAGATTTTGAATTAAGCAAAGATCATATAAAAAAATTATCGAATTTACCTCAGAATAAATATGCTTGGGATCCAGATAATGTTGCTTAAACTATTGAAACAATTGTAATTTCAATTCAATTGCTTCATATTTACTAATAAAACTATGATTAATTTGGAAGACAAAGTGGCAAAGTTGTGTTTAGATAAATATGACTCTTTGAAAAAAACCGGTAAGCCTACAGAAACGGAATGGACAGTTTTGTCAGGTGTAGTGTTGCAAAGTTCTTCACAAGAATTGAATGTTGTGAGTTTATGTACTGGTACAAAATGCCTCAGCGGTGCGGAATTAAAAAATACTAAATATAAGGAACATGGTAACAGATTAAGCGATTCTCATGCTGAAATACTTGCAAGAAGAGCATTTCTACGCTATTTATACAATCAAATTGAATTAACTTTAGATGATAAAAACAGTGATATATTTTTTATAACGAATGGCCGAATAAAATTAAAAGATGTATCTTTCCACTTTTTTTCAAGTCAGACTCCTTGTGGTGATTGTTCTATTATTCCGAAACAGAAAGAACCAGCTGATTTAGAGATTTCACGTAAAAAGATTAAGTTAGAATATAGTGATTCATTAGATTTCATAGTTGGATTAGAAATAATCGATATTCATAGAACTGGGGCTAAGTGTATAAAGAATGATGAAAGACAGGATCCTCATAAAGATGGAGTGCATTATCATACAGTTGGTCCTTTGAGAACGAAACCAGGCAGAGGAGATAGAACTTTGAGTTTATCGTGTTCTGACAAAATTGCAAAGTCAGTATAACAGTCAAGTAGAAAATAATCTTTCTCTAGCGGGTCTATTCAATTACAAACTATTGAATGTTTATAGATGGAATTTACTGGGAGTACAAGGAGCACTTTTATCTTTGATGATCCCATCAATAAAATTTGAAAGCATAGTTATTGGTGGAGATTGTCCATACTTGCTCGAATCTATGCAGCGTGGATTATGTAAAAGATTCTCACCTGATCAAACAGCTCCAATAATCAAGCAGTCAAAACTAGCTTTTGCACACAAAAAAGGAAAGTTGAGAATCAGACCGTGCCCTTCAAGTATTGTCTGGTGTGCAGTCTCGGAGCAGTGAGTACTATTGAATTTAAAGTCACTGTGTAAGAAAATAATATGAACATCAACAAGTACTAAGCTTGTTTTTTAGGCCAATCGAAATAGCGGTAGATGGCTACAAGCAAGGAGCAACAAAGAAAAAAAAAAAAAACTGCAGTCTTTTAGCAAGCAGAAAGGAAATTTTTAAAACATTCCTAAGGGTTTACAACAAATATATTTATGATAAGAAAATTCCACAGCATCCAAAAAAAGCAATGTATCATCACTACAAGCAGTATTCTACAACTTATCAAAATTTATGGAAAGATGTACGAACAAAAATAATTCCAACTTGGCCTGTAAAGCCTTTATATTTACAAGAATGCATATCTTTTTTATAAAAATATTTATCCAAGAGCTTTTTGCCGCAAGATTTATATTTATCTTTATAAAAATTTATATAATTTTGTATGAAAAAAGTATACAATAAATTGTTTTTCACTTATATAACTTTTTTTTTATTTCTTTGTTCACGTAAAACTTTTAATTTTTTAAATTATATGTAGCATTTTATATTATTATTTTTCGTTTTTCAAAGTTACTTACGATTCTCCTTTAAATTTATGTACACGTAGGTGTCCTCGAAAATATCGATACAATATCGAAGATCGAACAGTAACGTAAAACGTAACTCATTACTCATTCCTCGTTCGTAACTTGCGGTTGCATGTGCGTGTCACCATACCATCAGTTGACTTGACAAGTTGACGGTTGACACTTAACACACTACTGACACTTCATTTGTTTACATATCAAATAGTTGTGATTATTTAAGGTCGATATATTATTTGTCATGGCTTCATCAAAAGGCTCAAAACGATTGAAATGGGCTCTTGATTTTTCTCACAAGTAAGTCTTTTTTATGAACTGTAGAAAAAAGTATAACCTATACAATGTTTGTTATCTATATAAACAAACGATTCTGTATGAATTTCTAAATGTTCGTGGCTCATGGGAAAATAAACATTTTTCAATGTTTAGAAATAAACTGGAAAAAAGCGTAGACATAGCACCGCCACCAGGATACATGCATGGAGTTGCCCAAGCTTACAGCACAGATCATTCCAGGGATTCAAATTCAAATCATTTGATAATGAAAAAGTCGTGGGACTTGGCAATCGGGCCTCTTAAACAAGTGCCCATGAATCTTTTTATCATGTATATGGCTGGAAATTCTATATCGATATTTCCTATCATGATGGTTGGAATGTTTCTTATCAGGCCAGTCAAAGCATTATTCACGCTCCAACAAAGTATGTAAACTATTAACTATTTCGTTTGATTTTTCGAATATTTAATATTAATTTGTTAAAAATTTTAATGCAGCTTTTAAAGTTATCGAAGGAACAAATGCATTTGGTCAAAAGTTTGTATTTGGCTTGGGTCAAGTTGTGAACATAATGCTAGCTCTCTATAAATGTCAATCAATGGGTCTCTTACCAACTCATGCATCCGATTGGCTTGCGTTTGTAGAACCTCAAACCAGTCTCGAATATTCTGGTGGTGGTTTCTCATACTTGTAATGTTCTTGTTGGTTTACATAAATGAACTCGTGATAAAAGAAAATAAATTATTCTTTAATGTTTGTTTTGATGTTTATTTTATAAAAATATGTTTAAATTACACACAAAAATTTTATTTTTTTTTGTTATCATCAACGTATTCTTTTATTCTTTCAATAATTTTTGATGGTTCATCAACTCGTGGTATCTAAAAAAAAAGTACATGATTAAGTTAATGACATTCCATGCATTGGTATAAACGTATCTTGAAAATTCCTTTACCTCATAATTTTGGCTCAGATACATGCCGGTGTATATACCAAGACTGAATGTTATCTAAGATAATGGAAAATAAGTTATTTCATTTCAAAATATCAGTACCTATGAATTGAATTTCACTGTTGTTTCTCAGTTTTGATGTTTTTCTCACAGATTAGCATAATTTAGATATATTTAATTCAAAAATAGTTTCAATTATAACGTTTATTATAAGTCATTTGACAGTGTTGCATATCAAACAATAAATATAGGTCATGTGACAGATTGCCAAATAATGAGTTAAAAATTGAGATGCGGTTAGGATACATGAATACATCACCAACTTCTTGATGAGTATAACAATAAATAACTCAACCGTACAAGAACTTGATTTATTGACACTGAAGTTAAACCAAAAAGCTGATAGAATGGATTTCAGCCTTATTTTTACAAATTGCATTGACTATTTACAGGTATGACTTACCAAAAATTTGATCATGGCTATCCAAAACGGTAGAGAGCATAACAAAACGAACGGAGCTGTTATAATGCCTGATGCAGTTGTAGTAGTGCCCATCTCACGTAAACAGTGTCAACACATGCATATTGCAACGTGTACAATTTTATAATAAATGCGCGTCTGCGTATAACTTGAGAATTTTGAGCTTCAAATTTCAAAATATTTAAGACAGATTTAACAATGATCGATTAGAAATTTAATTTACGAAAAATGAAACCAACGACAGGAAAATTTTAATGACAAGAACGAATCGATTTCCATTTTTATGTATACACAGTTATATCGTATTGAGTGAAGTTGCACAAAACACCTAATATACCTGTATAATGTAAATACACAGAGTGGTAATACAATTACTACTAGTAATGAAATTGCTAATAATCAACGACAGCAATTAATTAGAATTAAAAGCAATCATCCTAAGTTATTTTTGTAAAAGCCCCTTCTGTAGAGCTTACTTATTCCGTAAAGTCACCGCCTCCTCCATACAGAGAGGCTCGATCTCTTTATACCTATTCCACTCCCACTCCTTTTCCACGCCTGTGTTTGCCATTGCCACTTACCACAATTCAACACTTGCTGCCTTGCTCTCAGCCTCTGTTTTATGGTTAAAACTTTAATTCTATATGTAAATAATGATTCAACTTTTCTATTTTTAACAGCCGTACAAGTACTTATTGAGTAAGTAGTGAGTACGGAAAAATACTTAAATACAATTAAGATTTTGGAAATTCGGAGCACAGCAGAGTGTGTGACGTGTTGTGTTGCATCGACGCGTGAGTTTAAGGTATACACGTCAGGTAAAACTGTGAATGGTGCATACATTTTGGATCATTCCGGAGTTTTGGAGCAGAACGGATGATGATAATTTGACAAACATAAACAAACACGCGTATAGTAGGTTTGTTCAAGCCAATTCTCGGTGAGACTCGGATAGACTCTGGGAGCCTCCGAGAATGGAATGAACAAGTGTTCTTCTTCGAGAGTCTCCAAGAGACTCTGACTGTCCCCGAGAATGTATAGTATGCACACGTTAGGTCAGAGTCAGAATGGTCAGATAAATTAAAACTCTATGTAGATTCACTCTAACACTAAGACATTCTGTTTACTTTTTGTACTTATCTAACCTAACGTGTGCATATACATTCTCGGGGACAGTCAGAGTCTCTCGGAGTCCGGAGATCGGAGACACTCGGAGAAGAACACTTGTTCATTCCATTCTCGGAGGCTCCCAGCCCAGAGTCTATCCGAGTCTCACCGAGAATTGGCTTGAACAAACCTTCTGAAAGAAGGGCCGTACTCTTGTATATGCGTGGATGCGTGTTTGTGCGTATAAGCGTCCCAGAGAAGTCACAAGAGATAATAGTTAAAGAACGTCCAGGATACTTGACTTGTTTCGTGAACGGTAATGGGTTTAATGTTTGTTGCTTTTGTATGTTATACTACCTACATCTACTTGTATCACCTATACATAATACGTAAATTATGGCATATTTACAGCCGTTTGTTGCACATATATCACATAACCGCAAGTGGCGAACGTATATGCAATGTTTTTATTGCAAAATACGCTTATAAGCATCAATTTGAACTAACTCTCTAATAAACTCGTGTTAATGCTTGCCTGCATGTATGACGTATATCTATACCAATATTTTACATGCATACAACATTTCGTGATTCTATTCTTAAATTCCATACGCTACAGAGTGATCAAACTGTTGCTTCTTGAAAAATTCGTTAAAGCGTCACTTTTAATCTAAAATACACGTACCTAATTCTTAAGAATGCTAAAAAAAGAGACGAAAGAAAAGGAAAAAGACACCTTTGTGCGTATATCTCCTTACAGATCATTGTGCTTGCCCGATTATCACAGATGCCATACATTCTGGTTCGCGGTAACCTCGCGTCCTATAGTCACAGGTATCCTTGGAGAGTCCTCGTTTCTGGCCTAAAAGGTATTATATCATCCCCATAATATCCACGTATACTCTGTTTACAATTTTTTCCACATATCCTTTTGTTTGTGTGTGTACCATAGCTTGGATTTTGTTACTTGTTCGTTTGCATTTTTTTCCTCTATTTTGACTAACTAACATGTTAAACACCACATTACCATCACTTCATCGAGTTTTGCATTTTTCTTGACTTTACATCTTACATGATGGTATTCCACATCAGTGTGATATCTTTTCTCGATTATTGCTTACAGCAGTGGACATCGAGCAATTGAGTCGGTTTGCTTCAGGCGGCTTTTGCGACGATTCGACGATCGTCTACCTGCAACATCCGTGCGTCATTCTGACGGCACTCGAGGTCCTGGGCTACAAGGTCGTCGCCTCCTCGAGCACAAGTGTCAAGCAGGATTACAATGAGTACATGTGGACTATGAGAAAGGATTTTTCCGAGCCTGAGCCCGAATCTGTTATCAAAACAGGTGAGAATATTTGTTTTCTTTTCTCTATTGCCCTTCAATGTATATAACCCAAGATTAGTTTGTTTTTTTGTTACGAATTCGTGAGATTGATAGTGATGCTGCGAACATTCGCGTTTTTTATGTTTTCTCTGTTACACATACTTGTATGTACACTTGAAGGGAACAGGGTAATTACTTAATTATTTCTAATCACGATATGCGATACATCGAAAAGTCGGACGATGTGTAATGTGACGTAAACATAACCTCTTGACCATTGTAACTAACGTAAATGACGTCACAAGTCAAAACTACTAAACTACACGACATCTGCGGATCTGCGAGATCGAGATAAGTTATAGGTATATAGGTACTTACTTAAGTAGGTATCATAAAAAAAGTTTCACCTAACTTATTTCATACAACACATACAGGTATTGTTATATTGATCATACGTGTACGATTGTATTCACACTATTCTCATAAACGTTACGTTATTGCTTAAAACCATAGATATATTCCAAGTATCCATTAGCACTCATCATTAATTGATGTGAAATTGTGCGTAAGAGAAAAAGTTTGATGGTGTTAATAATGGTGCGTTACGTGGATCCGCTCATTTCCCACTAGGTTATGGAATGTGAGAAAAAAAACACTTGACGCAAAAAGTAACTGTTTTGATATGAACGAGCTGCGTGGGACTGTAGGTACACTTAAACGTTTTGTTCTTCTTATACTCGTAAGTGTTTACGAGAGAGTATATTGTGCTCGAACGAATAAAAGTTCCGCTGTGACGCGCCGCAATTAAGACTACTGCCTACAGTTGTCGACGTACCTACTTCAAAATGGTGAAGAAAAAGGGAATCGTTTGGAATTACTTCACGAAAAAGATATACGGAGCGCAAGTAACAGCCTTTTGCAATTTTTGCGACCAATCGTACATTCAAAATGCCACTCGCATGGAAAAACACATTGTCCGCTGTCCCAAGTGCCCGGATGACGTGAAGCATGCGTTTTTAAAAGCCGTGAGAACCAAAAAAGCCAATTCGGTGATGGCCCTGAGACTAGCTAGTAACTGGTCATTGCCCACTGTAACAAAACAGAACAACACTAGGCAAAACTTTACCGAGGTCAATTTACCGGAATGGAAGTATAATGAGGATGATGCTCCAGTCAACGATGGTACGAGGAATGCTAATGAAGTCGAGGACTCCAAGGATTGGAATAAGAACTTGTCAGTGCAAGATGAACAGAATGAGTATGTGATACCTCATGTAAACTGGGAACCTAATAATGATGATGAAGGTAGTAGTAATGACATAGTGGAACAAAACACGGAAGGTAATTGTTTACTTAACGTTTTATATATGTAATGAACTTGTAAAATTAATTGAATTTGTTGACTTAAAGTGTTATATTATTTAGAGCAAATTGAGGAGGAACCAGAAGTCACTTATACCAGAAGAGTTCGCTCAAACAGGAGATCCTTACAACCGCCTGTACGTACGACATATAATTCTGCAGTACAGAACAAAATCCAGCATGAGCAGTATTTGGAAAAACGTGCCTTAAGGCGTGTAGCGGAAATAGAACTGCAGCACAAGACTTTGGAGTATGAAAAGTTAAAATGGGAATTTGAAAATCAAAAAACTCAATCTGAAGCTCGCTGGATACATGAGTGTCGCATGATGCAACTCAAAGAACTGCATCAGCAGCAATTAACAGGACAAATTCATAGCAAGCCCACAACTGAAAAGCAGTTAACATAGTGTAAATAAATGATTTCTTGTACTTTGCAAGTTTGGCAGCACTTGTAAATGTTTACATTCATCTCAAATTCGTGCATCCATGTACTTGGGAAATGTTTAATTTGAAACTCACTTAATCATTTGCATTTCATATGAATATTTTTTTAATCATAGACTTAAAGCTATTTAATACTTAATTTAAGATTTGTAAAAAAAATATTTTGAGATTGTACGGTTTAATTTCTATAGTCATAAGAAGAAAGTTCTCTCAGCAACCAATAAAATAAGATACATAAGACTGTTAACCAAGAATAATATCCTATTACAACGTTGTTGATAAATATTTAATTTCAAGTATAGTTTTAGAATAAGATATGAAATAAATTTTATACAAATGTACTTTTTTAATGGAAAATACAATTGATACGATATATTTGTGTTATTGCATTATTTTAACACCTATAAACATGAGTAACATGAAAATCATCCATAATTATTTTTTGTATCAACATGAAACAACCAACAACATAAGAAAACTTTTCGTTTTAGAGCTTAAAGACAACGAGGTCTGAACTTCACGCAGTAAACTGTAACCGAGCTTAGAAAAATGTCGGATACCGAGAATAAGATGACAGAAAAATTAGCACAAATTATTAGTAGTGAAAGCTACTATTACATTGCTGTGAAAGGCTCTCCTTTTGCGGTCGACTGTGCTGTCTTTGGCTTGACGAGTGCCGAAGTTTTGGCCCTTTCTAAAAGATTCCCTCCCACGGGAGCTGAAATTGTTAATGGCATTGTCATCAAAGGTTAAAAAAAAAAAAAAAAAAAAAAAAACAATTATCCTTTCCTTTATAATATGGTGAACAATAAGGTTTATAAATTGGTAACAATTTTAGGGTCACCACTGTGCGTCATAAATACTCTGTCCGAGCTGGGCTACAGAGTCGTTTGCAGCACTGGTGAGGCAGAAATTTTGTGGACTCTCCAGAGAGAAGTTTAGCCAGAAATACATCCTCTGCACTTGTCGATAAGAGATCTTAATTCGTTGTACAACGTCGTCCCACCCTGCAGGGCGTCGAAACCAATGTATCGTGAAATGTCGCTTTTATCGTTATACAAAAGAAAACCGTGAAATCGCCGAAAATATTCATGTTTAGTCGATCCTCTTTGTAATTTTTAACTCTTATATTTATATTTTGTATTCCGAAAAATCTTATAAAATTGAATTTTTACACAGTATGTATCCATCGTTTTGTATACATTTTGTATGTACTTTACAACGGTAGCATTTTAAAAAATGATGCATTTTTGAGGACCAAGTCTTATTACATTTTTATTCCAATACGTAGTATAACAAAAAATGATCTTCAATACAACAATGGACTGGAAAATTTTTATAATAATAATATAAGGTGCGTTAGATTTTAGACATTGTACCCGGTACTATAAAACTTTGTATTTGCTTCACATGGATAGAATATTTTTGATAATTTTACCCCTCTTTTTTATCAAGATTTTTCTTCGATTACTTGAATACGGGATATTTATTCATAAGATGTTTTACCGTGCACATAAGCTCGTAATACTTTTTAGATTAAATGTAATGTTAATTGAAAAAAGAGTGATTTATAAATCAAAGATATTTACGTAGCTAATATTATTTTAATATATACAAATATAATATATGCATATACTCATAAGTAATTTATACACACACATGATATATATTTAAAAGTTACTAGAAATCAAGTTAACATTTTAAATCAAACGGAAATTGTGCAATAATTGTTGCATAGGACAAAATGGTAAATTATAGTTTTGTTTCAATGTGCATTCAGAGAAATATTTTCCTCGATATTTTGTCTGCAACTGATGATACATTATACCATACTTACACCTAAAATGATTTTTATTAAAACTGCTTCTGATGAACGTTTTGTTTTTACTTGTATCTGTGGAATCGCGGCTTAGGTACTGTTATTGTGTACTTAAAATTTAATAAAAAAAAAAAAAATAAAATAAAAAATAAAGTAGCGTGTTTGTGAACCAACTCAGAAAAAATAAGCAAACCAAAAAATGAATGTAACGTTTTTAACTCGATGCCTTAAACAAGAAACTCGTTTTGATGTTTTACCGTTTATAAAATTGTATGTTATCTAACTGTCTATCATATTTTATGAAAGAAAACTTTTACCGTTTCGTAAACTTGTAATAAAAGAAAAAAAGGAAAAAAACCTACTTACTCTATATCTTTATGACTTAAACCGAATTTTGTGTAATGTATACAATGTTTCATGTTATCAGTTGTTGTAATGATATAAAAAAAATTGTCTAAATGTTAAAGTTTTTTTTTCACTTATTGTACATTGTTTCTCTCCCGTTCACGTATCCCAACAAACGACACGAGAAAGGAAAAAAAAAAACAAAAAAAAACACAAGTTTCTACTTATTACAAATATACGTGGGTATAGTGAATTTCAGATACCTAAACCCTTTCGCACATGGATCCGAAAAAGCATCAGCACCGAGAGACTTGTAATTGCGTTCACGGAGGTTCCACAAGCCAAACATTAGATGAATTAGAATTTGAACGTGGTATATGGCACGCAGGTCAGTATACATAAATAAAAAATAAATAATCATTCATCAGCTACTTAAAAATTTTATGTTAATCTAAAACAAGTAATAACAGTCATCACCTGTTTTCGTTGCAACTTTTTTGTTTTACTTTTCAAGATATCATTTATGACTTTAATTAAAAACAAAACGAATGGTAACAGTCATTAAATTTTTTACTCTTAGTCTCCAATCTGCTTTTTGTTATTTTTTGTGGTCGGTTTTTATCCCCTATCATCACAGTTATTCGCCAAGACAATGTTTGCTTAGCTTGTTAATCGAAAAGCAGCTACATCCCCTTTGATTTCCTCCGAAATTGTATATACCCTTCCAACCGATTGTCCACGCACTACTTATATATACCTTCAACTCAAAATGCACTGATCCGCAGCTCAAACGGGCGACATATCCAGAGTCCGGAATTTCTTGGGCAAGGGCGTGTGCGCGGACGTGCTCGATTCGGCGGGCTACACGTCCTTGCACTACGCGGCCCGCAACGGCCACTCGAACGTCTGCCAGGAACTGTTGAGCCACGGAGCCGACCCTAACACCAGGACCCGGTCCGCTCGAGCGACACCTTTGCAACGAGCTGCGATGCAAGGGCACCTGGACGTCGTGAAGATTCTGCTCCAGGCAGGGGCCGACCCGAATGTCCAGGACGACGACGGGTACACGGCTATGCATCGGGCTGCCATTGTCGGGGATTCGGCCGCGTGCAAGATTTTGCGGCCCATCACTGATGCGACTCTCAAGGACAAGAACGGGCGGACCGTCGAGGATTTGGTGTCGCGGGGATTTTCCAAGGAATAATGATTTCATCGTGGGAGTTCTTTGGAAGTTTTGCTTTTTTGTACTCTAAATTGAGGATTCGCGGAGACAAATGCAACTATTTTGATAAAACGTGAAAATCAAAAGGAATCTTTTTTCTTTGTGTTATCTCCATGAAAAACAAAAAAAATATGCATGATCCACATCTCGCTGTTACTTCCACCCTAAACAATTTCTTGGTTCCCTTGAATGTTTGTATGCAAGTGCATTACCAGCATTTATACTTTTTCGAAAAGTCGGTATCTTTTGCATCGTATAAGTATTCTTGCATACAGACTTTTTTTCATATTTAAAATACCTACGGTGCTCATAACGGTCGTACTTATCACGGCATTGAAGTTAACGAGTAAGAAAAGGTGGTATTCTTATACCTTCAGCAAAGTCGAGAGAGACAGAGAGTTCGAGCTTTGAGAAACGGACAAAAGCACGTTGCGCAAGTCGAAAAAACGTCAATAAGATGGGTGTACCAATGAGTGCAGCAGGAACCCACATTTAATTGGTAGGTATAACAATTGCCTTGCCTCGTCGTCATTGCCATCATCATTGTTATTACGTTACGATGCACCGTAAACTTACAATCCAAGCGACAAAGCAAAAATAAAGAGCTATATGTTGTATCATGCAGATATTAGTGATATTACACTCGATGTATAGTATAGAAAAGCTTGCAAGCACGAGAGACGGCCCGAATTTTTTTTTGCCGTGCTGTGCTGCGCTCTACAGGACAATATGGTACACTAAACATCATCGGTATACGTATGTGTGTAAATGTATATATATACATATATGTGTGTGTGTGTGTGTGGTAACAGGCAGGTCGTGCTCTTGATATTGAACAGTTCGGGCGACATCGGAGCCGCTCGGACGGCCACGGCACGCCTCGGTTCGACCCGAAAACGGGAACGGCGCAGTTTCCGCGAGAGTTTCTCACTGCTATATGCGCGATAGGTATTGCGAAAAGGGGCAAGTATATAAATAGATATACACTATACGTATACCATCAGTGGTGGGGAGTAGCGTAGAGAGAGAGAGAGAGAGAGAGAGAGTTTTGTGTTTATTCGGTACATTGTCGAGCGCTGCTGCCACCTAGTGCCTACTAGCGTAGATATATACTTAGGTGTAGAGTACTGTAGAGTTGTACTATGTATGTGTGCATACCGCAGAGGAGAGTGCATCAGTGCAGTGCGTATGCTGCTGCTGCAGTTGGCAGGCCGCGCGTCGGTCACACGAGATATTATTTTGCACAAGAGAAACATCATTGTGGTATCGTGGTCGTGTGTTGTGTACATTTAAGTATAGTTAGTACACAGCGCACGAGAATTAAACATTTCGTGAGTTATGGAAAAAAGTACAAAAAAAAACACACAAAAGATATATATTATATACCCGTGTACGTGTGTACGATCGTTCGACGTTAAATAGGTAGTGTGTACAGTGTTAGTGCCTTCCGTCAAAAATACATACATAGGTATCCTACATCATCTCGAAAATATACTTAATCTCAAGTGTACAGTGTCGCAAGTAGTTTGTCTGCTCTGTGGTAATATATATAGTTACATTTCGTTCAACAGCATTTTCTCTACACGCCGAATTATAACTGCAGGCAAGCAATTTGTACTCGTTTGGAGTCGTGTCTCGTTGTAGTGTTTGTGTTGTTCCATATACTTACCTATATACTTACTTGATTTTTCTCTTGAGTTTGCTGCTCTCGTTACTGCTCATCGTCCGCCCGTCCGCGCGCGCGCGCCCGCGTGTGTACATGCCATGTATATGTGTGTGTACGTCTGTAGCTATACGCGAGTATTTACTGTATATATTTAATGTTGTTGCTATACTGCGGGGGTGATTCGTGATTGTTGGTAGTAATTATAAGTAATATTGTGTGGATGGTGATGGCGAGCAGCGCCGAGGAGCAGCCAATCACGACGATTGGCTGACTCCTTTTGACGGCCTCGGGCGCTGTAAACGCAGATAAATACCTATATAAGTATACCTATCCAGATAGCGGCGCGGACGATGATTTCACCATAATTTCACCTTCTCGAGAGCGTAACAACGAACGCGACGAAGCTGTTCGATGCATCAACTGTACATACACACTGCTGACGCTTAGGTGTGATTTCTATAATGTTGTCTCAAACGCAAAGAAAAAAAATGAGGACACAGTTCATTATGTAGCTTGATAAATAACAATTGTCTTTTTCTTTTAAAAGAGCGCAAGAAGAGAACAGTGTGTCAAGGAGTAGGTATGGCATCGACTGCTTGTCGTACCTATCATGCGCAGAATAAGAATAAGAACTTGAACGTTGAAAATCAATGCTCGGTAAACCGCGTCACCGCGTATAGTCCTCAAATGTAACGAGGAGCTCTGATCTGAATCAGTGACAAGTAGGTTCCCTATACATGTTATGTTAGCTGCTGGTATAGTAACATGCGTACAATACACAGTCATGCCTCTACTTACACCTGTCTAAAGTGCACGATTCGCGAGTTGCATGCGTGTGTGATAAGTGATTTGTCCCCGTGTGCCTCTGACGTCACGCGGTTGCTCTTAATCAAGTGCACTGTTTATAGGGACACACACGGCCAGCAGAGTATATATTATGGCAAACACGCGTGCGAGAAAGAGAGAAAGGGACGGCGCGCTAGCGCCACGTAAAGAAACGATGAGCCGCGATCTGGAGGCTTGCTCGTCTCGTGATCCGTAGTTCAGCTATGCTCGCGGGTAACAATCTCTCCAAGACTCGTTTTTAATGAAATCTGCGGCTCGTGCATGCTCGGGTGTTCTCTGTTTTGTACCTAATGGGCATTAAAGTATACACAACACTAGAGTAGGTACATACATACATCCTACATCGCCGAGATACGCATGCGTCCTTACTGCTTGTTTACACACTCACCTATATATCTATAGATTGGCGTGCGTGTGTTTACAGACTCCGAAATTCGAAGTTTGGAGCAAAGAAAAGTACACGAGGGCTAGAGGGAAATCTGCTCGGTTTGTAAATGTTGTTGGTGAAGCCCAACCGTTTGCTTTATAAAACCGACATATTTATATGAAATAGGGTGTAGAAAATCGACAATTTCATACGCCGGTATCGCCGATTGTTCGTTACATATTGTAAGAGTCGAGCGAACACGCATATTACTTACTAAGAGAGGAGGAGGACGGAGCGAACCTAACCTCTTTAAGAGAAAGAGAGGCGTGTTGTAGTGCAAAATATACACCATGCTGATGGAGTTGAGAAGTATACTATACAGACAGTAGAGGGACTACTGCCTAACTTAACCCCAATCAAAATAATAATAACAATGCTAATGACGATGATTATGATGATGGTGATGATCGTCGTGTAGAGAGAGGATCGCGAAGAGAGGAGGAGGAGGAGGAGGAGTAGGAGGCTCGCTAGCCTCGGTCTGCGCGTACGAAAAAGAGATCAGTCTTCGGAGCGCTGTGCCACAGAAGCGACGCGACGAGAGTACGTCACTCTCTCTTTCTCTCCGCAATTTCCATCCCTCTCTTTCTTTTCGCAGAATACGCACATGTGATACATGTACAACATATATTTTTGCGCGTACGGTTTCGTTCTGTTGCATTTTTATACGTGTAGGTGTACCTGCCTGCATACATGTATTCTGCATAATACATACACATTCGTCACGCACGTATATCGTTATTATCTTTCGCTCGCGAATATATAGGCATTAGGCACACGGCGGAATAAAATAATACTTATACAAGAAGAGAGGGAGAGAGAAGTCGGTCCGGTGCGTCGTCGTCGTCGTCGTGGTGTCGCGCCGCGTTTTCGTTTCGAGGTCAAGTGAGTGTGGTGTGTGTGCCCCTCTCCGCTGCCCACTCGCGTTCTCGCGATTATTGCTTTTTTTTTTTTTTTTTTTTTTGTTGTTTTTACATATTTTTTTGTTTGTTTTGTTACTTCTATGTACTTACAACCGGTGTGTGTACGTGTTCTGAACGTGGATACGTGATATATTACGACTGCACCACCGCTACAGCTGTTCTTGGAGGAATCCGCAACATTCAACTGCAGCGTTAGCCTCGTGATAAAAAACAAAAAAAAAAACAAAAAAAAAGCTGCAACGAGCCGGCACACTCCGCAGCGCGCACACGGCTTTTGCTGCTGACTCGGCTGGTGTGTATATGTGTAGATGTATGCGAAGAGAGGAGCTGCTGGATAAGGTTATGAGAGCCCCAGATAAACATCCGATCGTCGCCGCGCAAGAATAAATATTCTCGTATAGCTGGGGCATGTCTCTGCGTGCACGTCTATGATGATTGACGAAAAAAATCGGTTTCTCGCTGGAAACCATTTTGGAGAGCACAGGGGGCCGCTCCTTCTTTTTCTCAACATCCTCGCTGATGCGTTCACTCTCTCCTTCTGCCTCTCTATCTTATATTATCATTATTATTTTTCGCGAACGCGAACCCGGCATAATTATGTATATATTTATACACCGTCACAAATTTTCGGAATGACGAACGAGTCGCTCGTTTTTATTTCGCGTGTTGTTGTTTTTTCGTGATGTTTTTCGGTCGACCGGTGGAGAGATTTCGGCTCCTACTGGGTTCTACTGTTTCCCTTTCTCTCTTTTGTGCCGTTGGATAGCTCATTCCTGGAAACTCGAGAGTATCGAAGGCTTTACGGATTTGCATGGTCTCCCATGGTCCAGCCGGTATTTTCTTTTCACCGCTAAATAGCCATCCGGTCCTCTCCTTCGACATGCAAGCTTTCACGAAAAGCCCTAGGTGGTACACCTATACAAAACGCACAATCATATTTATACTCCATACTTACAATTCAAAACCCTCCATGTCACGCGGGCTCGGTGCACTTTATCGAGCTACGTTCTCTCCCATTCGCTCATTTTTGTTGTTATTGTGATTCACACCTTTAATTGACGTGAAGACAAGTCCTCTCTCTTTTTTTTTTTTTTCTTTTTTTTCGCTCCAGCGTAAGTATTCGTACCCGGCGTCGAATGTTCTCGAAACGCTCGCGTTCTTTTATTCTTAGCCGGCTGCAAGATAAGAGAAGAACCGCCGTGCTGGATAACATGTTTTTCTCCCATGTTATAGTAAAGCTCGTACCTACAAGTAAAGCTCGGGTCGTCGAGCGCCGTTGAAAAAATTGCACTTCGTCCTGTACCGATCGATCGATTCTTTTTTTTTTTTTTTGTCATTCGCGTAAGCTGAGCTTGCGTTTTCGGCAAAGTGCAATAATTTACCGCACACAACGCCGGCCGTACTGACCCGAGAGCTTTGGGAATCAATAGTCGGCGCCGAGCGTGTGACACTCTATTATTCAATCAATCAGGCGAGAGAGCTTTTTCCCTCTATTAACCTATAATACCGTCGATTGACAGCACTGATCCGCTAAAATCGAGTTCCATGCATGTAGTACCACGTATAGTTATATTTATGCAGGATTATATATGGACGGGAGTACTCTGGCACTTGCGAAGAAAGAAAGAAAAAAATCACGCGGAACTTGACATTAGAACGCGTAAACTCTCGTTCATTTCTTTTTTAAACGCTCATTGGTGTACGTTGTAAGATTGAATTCGTCAGAGCTCGAAAAAGGAGAGGCTCTTCTTCTTCTTCACTCCCCGCAGATTCGCTTTCGCGTCAAGGTTGCGAAACGAAAATATCGCCCGGTGCACGTGTGTGTGCAGTGCATGCTCATACACACACGCACCGATCTCTCTCTCTCTCTCTCTCTTCCTCGCCATTCTTTTTCTTTTAACTTTTATTTTTGCTATCTAGCTTGAAAATATTATCTGCCATGATTGTAAGACCGGCTTGTTTTATCAATTGCAGGTGTTGATGCAACGACCGTGTAACAACGTCATCGGCCAAATGGGGCGATCGACCGGGTGCAGCTTTGCAAAATGACCTATCGACCGAACCGGCGCCGAGACACCGACAGCCAACGTCCAGTCGGGTTCTGAAGCTCAACAGCAGCCTATCGCGGTACACTTATCTACACGCAGAAGAGGAAGAAAAGAAGCTGTGCAGCCCGCCTCAGTGAAACAAAAGGCTGGCTCGTACAAAAAAAAAGTGTGTGTGTGTGTGTGTGTATGTGCGTAGAGAAAAATAACACGGGAGGCAGTGAGAGAGAAGAAAATAAAAGGAGTCCAGCCCTTTTCTGTCGGACTCGTGTGTACGGTACATCGCCGAAATTGCAAGGAAGGAGCCCACGAAACAAAAAGCCTTTCTTCCGTCTTCGTTTTATTGTATTGTTACTCGCATCCCCGAGCGCCAGTCTACGTGCATATATATACCTCTGCGCGATCAACGGTAGCGAGCAGCTTATATACATGTAGGGAAGGATCGACGAATTTGTAGTCGAGAGGAGAGAAAAAAAAAAAACGAAACCGCCCCGCGACGATTGTGTGAGAGTTCGATCCGACCAAGCTTCGAGTTCACGGTCAAGCACAAGCTGTGGAGCGCGGTATCTTCCGTAATAATAAGTGACGTTACGAAAATCAGTGTGCTAAAAGTGCCTGGTGGTGTTTGTACGTTCGTTTGCGATTGTTTTTTTTTCTTTTTTTTTTTTTTTTTTTTTTTTTTTTTTTTTTTTTTTTTTTTTTTTTTTTTAACTTGAAAAAGCTTAGAAGCTCGACGTATGAACTTCCCCTTTTTCTCCCATTTCTTTTCTTTGTTTTGAACTACAGATTTGAAAACGGGTACTGCGGATGAGGGGAGCTTCGACTGCCACCAAATCGAGAGTTATCGTGNTTTTTTTTTTCTTCTATCAGTATCGGCAACAGCGAAAATACTCGAGATCGTTAAAGTGGTGCGGTTAGCGGCGCAAACGAGCCGAAATACACACACGAATATTATACTTGGTGAGCCGATGATTGAGCGAATATAAATTGGTCGACTATTGATTGTGGCTAGTTAACAAATAAGGAAAGTGGTGGTGTGACACAATAACTGATATATACCTACATACATAACGCCAAGGACGCAAAGTGTGTGTGACAGTAAAAAATATAAAAAAAGTCGAAGAAGAAGTCGCGATTGCCGGTGTTCTGCAACATTACAAGTGTATTGGCGGCAATCGCGTACTCGGTGTGGCCCCGTACAATAAAAAATAACCACAAGCCGCTACCACGTCGACAACGACGGGTCATCCCTGCAAGCTCTTCGATCCGTCGTCTATCCTCGATGAGAGGAGGCACATGTCAATTGCTACTGCCAACAATGCAGGGTAAGTTTCTCGCGTCATTGTACTGTGTATTAAGTTCATATGATATTATTATTGTCATCATCATCCCCCCAATTCGGTTATTCGATCGCCACTGTATGACACCATCACGCACGTGGTACCCCCATAAATACATACACATACTTGATGTCACAATATACCTACCTATTATTATAATACCTACTGTTCATGTACGTTGTCACCACCACGCGACGCCCCATTGCCATCAGTCGCAGCAGAGCGGTAGTCAGCTGATTTCCCGTATGTTACAAGCGTATATATATATGTATATACATCGTACGTTGTACAGCCAATATACGTGTATACATAATATACGTAAGCGAAGCGCTCGGCTTTTATTGTACCTTTAAATCCCCCTCCTCTCTCTCTCTCGCTCGCACCGCCGCAAACATGTACACACACACGGGGGGGGGGCTTTCTCTTTCTCTTTGCTCCCCATTTCTCCTCTTCCTTATTCTTTCTTTCCCTTGCCGAGCTTGACCGATTTCCTATCTATATCTCTCGGTGTTGTCGTCGCACCGCAAACCCCTCGGACAAGAGATAGGTACGGATAAGCCGGCTCTGCAAACAGAGCATGCAGGACGACCAAGTTTTACCATACCACCGACTTCTGTGATAAACGCGAAAAAGCTATATTATACCCTTACTGTGCGTATTATACGTGTATTATATGTATACCTGGTATAGCTCACCTGGGCGCGAGAATCGGTATAGCAGTGTATATAATATGTACGTGAGAATGTACTTACACACCGGTACGGGAGAACGGAAGGTGAGAAGGAAGGAAGGTAGGGGGGGGGGCTAAGGAGGAGGACGCCTTGGCCCGGATAATGTACTCTCGCGCTCTGCCGTTCCGATGACTTAACCCTGGATTTCGCGGCGGCTGTCATGGTGCCCCCCCCCCCCTACGCGTCTTGTCGAGCGTCTTTTCTATTTTTTTCTTCTTTGGTGCAAATTGCTCCAGATGATGACGATGCTATATGCGAACGCACCACATTTTATTTTTTATGGTACATCTCTCCTCGTGCAGTGTGACTGGGCGTCGCTGTTGTTGGGAATTGCTTGCGGATTCGATTAGCTAATCTGAGCGAACGAGGGGAGATAGACGGGGATATGAGATTGCATTCATGTGTGATCGCTTCGCTCGACTTGATTATATATATATATATATATGTGTGTGTGTGTGTGTGTGTGTGTGTGTGTGTGTGTGTGTTTCCATTGAGCCTTTACGAATTTTCCAATTTCCACACACGAGTGAGTTTAGCTCGTTGTCAAGCTCTCTTTTTTTTTATCATTTCATCAGCCAACAAGATCGGTAACCGCTGAATAACCGCGCTACTTCAATTCCTTAAGTAAAACTGATGAGACAATGCTTTGGTCCATGTTACAATTAACATTTTATCTTTTTTTTTTTTTTTTTTTTTTTAAATTTGCTGTACACCCTTTTGCATGTATCTATTCCACCATTAAAGAAAATTAGAAAAAATGTCCCTAATTTAGGCATGTCGAATCGTGGCGAGGTAACATAGAAGCCCCAATTTTTTTTTTCTCACTCTGCCAATATACGTTCCACAAGTGCCTGTGTGCACTCGAGTTCACGTAAAATCTTAAAGTTTCCCCACTGCCCTGCCGGAAAAGGATGGGAGAGCGCGCGCTTCTCCCTCATCTTCTCGATCTTGAAAGTTTCGCGAACATGGCCTTGACAGTGCTGAATTATTTTTTTTCCTCTCCTCGTTCCTTCTTTCATCCTCGTACCTTTTTCCTTCCTACCAACGTGTAAGGTACACTTTTACATACGTGTTAGTTTGGAAAAAAAAAATGGGAACGAAAGAGGAGAATAAAACACAAGAGCACGCGCGTGTGTGTGTGTCGGTCGCCTCCGTCACGTTTCGCGAATTCAGTTCTGACTTCTCGTATACTATACCTGTAACACCTTGTACGTTTCTCTCTCTGTGACTGTACCTGTTATTACCACAAAGGCAAGCGAGAGTGTACGTACCTATAGAAAAAGAAAAAAAAAAAAAAAAAAAAAAAAAAAGAGGGAACGTTGTGGATCCTTCTCCGTTTCCTCTCCCCGTGGGCGTCTTCTTCTCGTTCCTTCCCTTTTCTGCTGTACTGCATGCTCCTCGAGAGCCCCCGTCAGCCAATTGGTTTTTCAAACGCGTCTATCGAATTCCCCTCTCTCCGTGTCTATTATGTGCATGTACATACATGCACATGACCCCTACACTATGCCGCCACTGCCACATACAAACATCCCCGCAATTTCGCTCGCTTTTACGAGGTGCGCCTACCACCCTTTTATATTAGTTCTGCTGGCCCGCGTTTTTGCAACGTGCATGTGTGTCCAAACAATGAAAGAAATTCCTTCGTCTTCTGCCATTATACCTATTCTCCTCCTTTCTCTCTCCATCTCTCTCTTTTTTTTTCCTTCTCGCTTTATGTTGTTCAAGTTTAACTATACGTCAAGCTCGAGAGAGAGAGATTTCGATTTTTACGAGAGAAGAAGCCATAACCATTTCTACTCGTATACGTACGTAGAGTTGGGTGTTGAGCATACTTAACATATTACAATATTATATTATACACGTATAAACTCGAGGTAGCGAAAAAAAAAAAAAAAAATTACGTTTCATAAAAAATAAGAATCAAACTTGTTATATGATTGTTATCGTGACAGTTGTTATCAATGTATTTTTTTTCTTTCTTTTTACAGAAATGTAAAGTGTAGGTACATGGTACAGTTGCAGCATGACTTTAGCAAATGAACTTTACCCCAACGAACGCCCTGGTCTCTTTTTTTCAACTTTTATTTATTTTTTGTATTATTGTACACGCAATATAATCATCGAGTCCCTGTGAGAGTGTGCGATGCGTATACACACGTGCACGATCGCTCTCAATTCATTAACGCTAACGCGAGCACCGCGGACATCCTTAGATCCTTATCGAGCCCCCTATCTCGCACTTCTCTTTTTTTTTTTTTTTTTTTTTTCTGTCTCTACGCATACATTTACTTACGCTTGAGTCTGTCTAGTTACAGTTTCGCAATAATTAACAACACGCATGCACACGTTTGTATATACAAACCTCGTCGAGGAGAAAAAGATTCTTCGCGAACCGATGTGACGTCGAGATATTGAAAAAAATGAACGTGTGTGTCTTACACTACTGTGAGTGTTTTATCCCAGAGCAAAAAGTTTAATCACATTTGGGTAACAAAAAAATACTGTTGTACAATATACGTATTTGCAATTTCAAAACGATTTTCGTAGTTTTTAACTCTAAAAAGGTATATCATATTTTGTGGGGGGTATATCTATGACTTTTATGGTCAAAAATTCATTGTAAAATCGTCCATTTCCTTCCGTAAAATTTGACGAAAATTACTCGTGTTACTCATTATACAATAAAAATATACTAGGCACCTCAGCCACATTCAAAAGTTCTTATTTTACATAAAAAGTTGTTCCAGTTTCGAAAAACTTTTAACTTCGTTACAACAATATGATACTTTCATCGATGCAAAAGAAAAAAAACGCATTTAATCAATTTTTTTTTTTCCCTCTCATGCCCTTCACGTCGTCACGCTCGAGTGGCATCATGCCGAGAGCAAGAGTTGCTGGCTGTTGTACCTATACTTGTATCATGCCCATATACATACTTATAACTCTTTGGCTTCTGCACAACACACACACACACACACGTGTATACTTATTTTCTTATTTATATGGAGGAGGTACGCGCATAGAATATACGTGCGCGCATGAGTGCAAGTACATATAGGTATACATATATATACACGAAGCTTTCAACTCAGGTGTTCCGTTACGTAACCGGCTTTATGCTGCATGCACGATATATACATGTATATGTACAAGACATCGTGTGCTAAGTATCAAAGTGATTCGAAGAAGGTGTGTATATATAAACCGGCGGCTATATCCTATGTTGCTGCGTGCATGCTGACGGTATGCTTGTACATTTATTATACATGTACCTATACGTCCTCGGCGATGACTAAAGTGTTGCTCTCGAGATTAATTAATAACCTCGGAAAATAATAAAAGCATCACCGTTGCCGCCACTGCTCCGGTACTTACCCCCCGAGAAAGTAAATTAAAGTCAGTCATTAAACAAAACAAAAAAAAAGGATACTAAATACATACTTAAAATTAGTACTACGGGTGTGCAGATCGGTATATCCGTGAATAAAGTACGTGTCGCTAAAGATATTATGTTTTGCAGTAAAATTTTTTTTTTTTTTTTTTTTTCATGTATAAGTACAAGGCGTTAATGTTAGGTATATACACCCTGTATACAAGCCATAACGAATACACTCTAGGTATACTTACCTATCCGGCTGCTCGATAGTGGAAACCTTACGAGGTTCTAACTCCGTATACTTATACATACTCTTCTCGCTCTTTCTCGTTACCTTTGTTCTGCCGATCTACTATTACATATACGTGTATATGTGTGTGTAAAAGATACACTGCAGCTTGACGTCTCGCTGAGTTTGACTGACTTCTTTTTTTTCCCTCTCACTTCGTCATCGCTGTTTCTTACTGGTGTTGTTGATACAACTTTGAAATACACGTCAAAACGCTCGTTATTCATGTATACAACTATTTATTATTTATGACCGATTTCAAGGTTAAATTAAAATTTAAAAAAAATATATATATTTTCTTTTTGTTTTCTAAATAAATCTTACCTGCGCAGGGACAAGACACTCATCTCTCTGTTTTTCTGAGCACTACGAAAAAAAAAAAAAAAAAATCCTCCAGACGCACTTGTACTTGGTCTGTTTTTCGATGACACTCGATTTGTTTTCAAACTCTCACTCTCTCTCGTCCCAGCCCACTTGTCATTATTGCGAATAACAATAACAACGATAGGCCACGCACACGTCACAGGTTGCGAACAAAAATACATAGACTCTCGAGAAGCGAAGGAAAAGAAAAAAAAAAATGAGAGTC